AATCTACACGTGAATTGCGTTAAACACGCCTCACAAAATATCAAGGCACATCATTAAAGCTTTCATCACAAGAAATTATATCTGCATGAAATGTTTTCACAACTTTGAAACTTGATTCTTACACCTGCTGTGTTAAGTTTCTGTATGTCCACGTCTCCTCTCATTATACGAGACACGCTCGTAGATTTTTTGATATAAATTCAAATTCATTTTGACATAATAAAACGTATTAAAAAATACCTGGCGAGAACGTGTTTCAAAAAAAAAAGAAAAAAAATGCCTTGTAACTAACCGTAAATGTTAAAATTGGTACTTTTTGCATTGTAGGCATATTATGGCGCATGTACTGCAATAATTGCAGTTAATTAGCTGGTTTTATTATGTGTTTAAACTAACCTGTTCAAGGTACATGATCTTTGCCTGCCATTTGAGCTGTCCATATTTTAATAAACAGGTTATATTGCAGCAGAGGGTTTTTTCCACCATTTTGAAACGTCAAAAAAATGATGCCGAATTACAAACAAACTATCAAAAAGAGCTGAGCTTTGCCAAACTATAAGCCATCCAGTTCGATTACCTAACACCTAAGTGAATGTACCTAAGGTATAAAATATCCGTCAGTTCTACGAACAATTTTAAGGAATTAATTGCTTTCCTCAAGTTACAATTACTGTTAATTGCATAAATCTTTCAAACTTTCAAAGAGGGTAAATAATTAATCTAACCCCTCAGGTTATCATGTTACCATCCCAAGAAAGGTATTCATATGTTCAACAAATAAACAAACGCTGCTTAAAAAATTATCAAAGTTCTCGCCTAAGATCGAGGGACTTCGTGCATTTTTGTGTGGTAGATCAGTATTCTATTAGTAAGTAGATTGCAAAATGAAGGTCGCTCAGTATCTTAATCAAATATATTTGTATAGTTTTGTACCGCACATTTGAGTTTTCACTCCACCATCACTCAGCTCTTGTCCGGGGTGCAAATTTCCGTTCCCTATACAAGATGGTGATCGGTTGCACGAACTCGTATAGGATATGGAAGCAGTGAATGTTTTTACATATCCTATCCGATTTCGTGATTTGCTAGCATATTTGATAAACAGTGTCAAGTTATAAAAGAAGTGAAGTGAAGAAGACACAAAGAAAAATGTAGAACTGCGAACAAAATTTAGGCCCGAATTTTGCGAAGTAGTTGCAGTTAACTGCATCAAAGATTATTCAAAAGTTACAAAATCAAGCTGGATTGTCCAACGGAATTACCAAGATCCAAAAAAATCGAAAAATATTTCATACTTTTCATTATTTTTTGTCTGTATCCAAAATGCCCTTTATTACTTGGTTCCAATGTTTTGAAAATGCAAATGAGGATAGTGCAATGTTCACATTACACATAATTGATCACGATCACGAAATCGGATAGGATAGGTATGTAAATACATTCACTACTTCCTATACGAGTTTGTGCCACTGATCACCATCTTGTATAGGGAACGGAAATTTGCGTCCGGGGTTACCACATTCCTTTTTTCGGTACCACCTTCCGACATCCCGTTCATCCACAATGCCCGAAAATATATAAAAGACAAGATTGGAATGAAATTCATAAACTATCAACTTTGGCAATGATGCCTTTAGTTTTCGAACCTAATGCTGTACTCCTGAAGGTTATAGGAGGTTCCGTTGCAAAGATCTCGATCGATTTATATGCGCCCTTTGTCTTAATACAAAAACGAAATTAATAAATTATGGACTTCAGCAAAGTTGCAGCTTGCTGAGTAATCGATGCAGGCATAACTCTATCATACGAACCATATGCTTAAAGCCCCGTATTTTGTTGTCGAGATCTCGATCGATTTATAACATTTGAAGGAAATTCACAAATTATCAGGAATGGCTTTCAGCTTTCAGACTAAGCGCTGCAGCAATAGCACGATACTACAGGTATAATGCTGAACATCCGAAAGGTCTATGATATTACGAGTACTTTTAGCGAAGCGGGATCTCGATGGATTTATAAAAAGCTTAAAAGGCGCTCGAACACCCGATAGTTAGTAAAACAATAATTCTCTACACATTTTTTTTTTCAATTTGCAGTCCCTAGAAAAATGCCCAAATTCATTGCAATTGTAGCATCTTATCTTGGGTCTACATTTTTGTTTCTTTTTATGCCCGAATAATCGATGGCCATTGCATCATTTCGTTCTGGCAAACCGTGCACTAACTCCACCTATACTCCCAAGCAAAAATCCGGAATCGCCCAGCCAATGGCACTCGTTTTATGTGCTGTGTCCATAATTTTACGTACCTATTCGGTCGCACATTTTTCATAGAATTGTTTCAAAAATTTTTGGAATGTTTGGAAAGGTCCTTTATAAGATATAGGACCTCAAAAAAATATTCAAAGGATTCTTTGGTAGAGTATGCAAGATTCTTTAAGTCACACAGTCCATCAAGCGAATAGAAAATTATCGAATCGCATTCATGTATGGTGGATGTGCAGAGTTGATTTTTTCTTCATTTAGGAACACACGCTGTTGTCTTCCCCAATTAAATTTATATTTCTACTATGGTATTACAGTTGCAGAAATATAAATTTAATTGGGGAGGACAACAGCGTGTGTTCTTAATATTCCAACCCAATTTGAGATGACGGAATTCAGAAATTATTCTTCATTTAGCTTTTATGTCGAAATTTCTAATGCCTGTTAGGTACGTACATTATATTTATTTGTGTGTCAAATACGAAGAGAAGGTGAAAGAACTCGAGTGTATTAGAGTTGAACAAGCAGATGCAGAAAATTAGGGAACCAAACGGCTAGGCAACATAATTATGATGTTTTGTTAGTATCGGAAACTGGGAAAAACAAGACGCGTGAAGAGATCAATAGTAGACTTTTCTGGGAAAGTCGATATAACCTGGATTGATAGTGGGGGCAAAATGTTCAGAAAGTGGCATTTCCACGAGTGGACCCTGAGTTCTCTTACCAGAATCACTTTCGCGCGCATATATTTCTAGACTAACTTCACGTCTTATAAGCATTCAAAGCGGAACCGGTCTCTTTCTTATGTTCGACGACTATACGAAAGTACCTCGGAAAGTACGAAATTGATTCAAAATTTAAGAATCAGTTCATACACCTATTTTCACGACCCCGCCCCCTTTAAACTTTCCTGAACGTAGGTACATTTTCCTTTGAGCAAATTCCTGTCGAGAGAGTAGTCCAGCGATGGTCAAATCCCCATGAGCGAAATTGTCGGGGATGCATATGTTGGTGGTGAATCTTCTCTAGGAAAACCTTTCCAGCTCGAATCTCCCGGAGGCGAATTTACCTGCGGACGTACTTCCTTTATTGGGGGAAATTTCTTATAATCCAAAGAGTAACTATGGCACCTAAAATATAATGTAGTGCAACAAACATGAAGTGACTAATATGAGGAATTCTTTGGAGGTCCAATTTCCCGGGGCGAATATTCCATGGGAGATTCTACCGTGGGTGAATTCACCAGTGAGGCGAGTTTCACTGAGGCGGGGAGGGGTCAATTTTTGGGGACAAAACTTCCTACAATCATGCCCCACAATCTTAATTTTAACGGATAAAGTTTCGTTTGGTAACTTTTTCATTTTTAACACGATAAAGTGCGAATAATATGCATTACCTAACTCTCGCCTAACGGTAAATGAACAAATTTACCGAACCATAATGAATGTGAATAAATAAAAACCTACGTCAGCGTATGTAATTAAATTTACACTGTATAGGAAATAGATTTGCTTCTTATTACGTAGACTAATTTTTTAGAAATTAATTTAGATTCCCGAGAATCTTTTTTACTCGCTTTTTGCCCTCTTATTTTGTAACATATACCTGGTTATTATAGTTGAATTATACTTGATTACGCGCGGTAACATTTCTTTGCACATAAATTTAACACAAATTTAAATTACTACCTTTCGATGTGGCATTAATTTCATAGTGTGTACTGATATTCAATACACGTATCAATAAACAATTAAGACTTAACTCAAACGACTAGAATCGGAGAGATTTGTGAAATCTTTTGTTTATTGAATACTTTCAATCACAGTGTCAACTATCAGTGACATCTGACATGGCCTATCAGCAATCTAACACTGACACGTGTCATTATACTGCGAAATATGAAACGAGAGTTGATTATTATCCACTACCCCAAATATGTTTTGTCATCCCCGCGTAATCAAATGGATTCGAACGCTTCGTTCGAAAGGTGACACCAAAAATACATCGGTAGTGTTCAAATTGTAGAATAGGGCAAAAATAATGTCCGCGGGCGTTCCTTTCGAATTTAGAATCGAATTGACATTTGTAAGCAAAGGCACAGCGGAAACACAAAAAGTGAAGTATAACTAAATTTATAAATTTTTCAATTTCCAAAGGAATGCGGGGTATATTAAATTGGAAACATTTCTTTCTCGATGCATATTAAATCCGATGCAAATACCTATATATTTCAAAGGATCTAATTTTGTACAATTCAAAGGCATCTTGTTTGCATGTTAAATGTGAGCATGAGGGTAATGGAATAAGTCGATTTTGTTTTTTGGTTCTTTTCCCGAAGAGTCTAAGATTACTTCGCGATTGAATTTCTATGAAAAAAAGTAAAATCTAATTTTTAATCTATCCGTTCTTGACATTGCAGATAGATCAATAATGCCGCTGCACACTCTTCTTATTAAGTAATAATGTTCAAACTGTGAAGTAGGCGAAAGAACTATAATTGAAAATAGAGTGGGATAGTGAAACTCGAGGGTTCAATTTTCACGTAACGGTCGTATCTTTGCCGCTCAAAGCATTCGTGTCTACTTCCACCCCCTTTTCCGTCCTGGGATGAACATATATTTGACCCAATTTAATTTAACTTTTCAATTACATCCGTGTCCCCGGCACGGAAAAAGGTAGCCTTCCTCCAATTCGGACACAAATTAACTACTACACGTTTGCAAAGGGTTAGACTTACTTGAAAATATACTTGTCCTTGATCGACCCAACCGACAATCATATCAGAACCGGCCATTCTACCGTCCTTTGAGAATCCGAACCCTACGTAACCTAATGTCCTCACTTGAAGTTCGAACGTTATGTCTTGCGGGCTTGGCCCTAACGACCACAGAAGCCTATAGTCGGGACTAAGCATCGCCGAATGCGCCCACCTGGCTGCATCCGTTAATTCGTAGAGACACAACACACACCACACTAGAAACAAGGTCCACAGCGTTTCCATCTTCTCAGTTGCACATTACCGAAACCATCTGCAAAAAAACAAAGGCATTAGTATTTGCATTTCGATCAAACAAAAATTACTAACACAAACAACAATATTCCATTTTGGGGTGCAAACACAAACAAAACTTACCTCTCAAATGGTTCAAACGAATTGTAAAGGAAATTAACATTAGATTTATTTTGGGTATGGGACAATTTGAGTAATATAAAATGTTTACCGATGCCTCTATTCAAACAATAAGCCGTATAAAAGCCCATAAAACACCTTCGCCCTATGTTTAATCACACTTTGGTGTTATAAACGTGTAAATATGAGGATGTGTTTACAAATTTTATGGTCGAGTCCCTATATACGTATCCACAGGCGAAGCTCGGAATACTTTACGGCCTCACGTCGTCGTGATATTCCATTTCCCAAGGTCGTTTGTAACCTGAATTTCGGACACTATAATTATTCAAGGTTTAAGTAAATATACTGTCACGTTTTCGCAATGATGTCTGTAAAAATTTAAGGTAGATGCGACTAATTTCTGTGCGGTCTTATAACTTTATTGAACTCATGAGCGAACTCAAGGAGGTTTTCTTGTTGGAAACCTAGATCAGAAGAAGCGAGACAAATTTTAATTGATTTATCTGAAAGTCTGTCCAATACCAATAATTGATACAGACGGATGGCATGTAATCTAAGGGCACAATTTTAACACGCATTCAATGCAAGTAGAAACTAAATTGCACAAAGGCAATTTCCATTAAGACTAATGTAATTAATTTTCTATCCGCACGTACTCTATCCTTCTACATCAAAGTAAAGGAAAACAACTGTTAATGAAAATGAACAAACCATTCATGGAAAACTAAAACAAAAAACGCTTTATTTCGCAACGCTGTGAAAAAGTGCATGGCGCGTTCCATCACGCCTAGGGGATCTTCATACTCGTAATTGATTTACATTGCACTGCCGATTTTGCTTTCCTCGATTTACATTGAATATCTTTCTGTATATCTTCGAATTTGTTTCCGTGCAACTCCAATTTTAATGCGTTTCAAGTGGAAAAGGAAAATTTTTAACATTGAAAATGTTTTCGTATATATGGGTGCGAGTATGGGTGCCAAGTTACAAGTTTCGTTCAAGACCAAAAGACAACGGTGTCGCATCAAGTGACAATTTTATTGTTTGATATGCTCGTCAAGTAATGACGCTTCACTTTGACCAGAGCCTCGAGCAGAGTATTATTCACGTACGTGTTTCAAGATATCATTGTGTGTTAAAACCGAGGGGGACGTTTTTTTCCGATTGTATTGTATATCTACACCGTTTAGGATTAATGAAAAATTTAAATGTGAAAGAACACTCAATACTATTTTCCTGCAGGCCAGGCATAAAATGCTTTCTTTAATTAACTCACAATGAAATTCCGCATCTTCCTTTTGCCTTTTAAAAGTTTGTAATGTTCTTGTCCTTCATAATTTAAATATACCGTCACTTAAATTACTATTTTTCACTCAACGCTTAAATGATGTTCTTCTTTCTTACGCCATCTATGGATTTTCTACGTAAACCCGTTTAGTTTAGATGATAAGTTAGTTCTGTAGTAGAGTTGTTATTACCTTAGTTTCTTTATTATTGCCGGTAGACGCCGTCCGAGTGTTATAGGTTTCATTGACTTACTTCACTATTTTGTCGCTAGAGTAGAGTTCACGCTATGTACCTTTCTGCACTTCAGTGGATTTCTTCTTAAATTTTGTCATGCTCACAAGCTGTACATGTTCCTTTTATGGAAGATTCTGCAGCCATAGTGGTTACCGGTAAAATTTTCTTGATTTTTAGTTACTGTACTTGTCTCATCATGAAAATTCATGTTAGTTTTTCAACTCGTTTTTGAATGTGCAGTAGTAGTTTTCTTAAAGTTAACGTCGTCACGATTATGCTTTTATATTACCGGTTTGCACGGGCGATAGTTGCCGAACAAAATTTTGCTTTTAGGTAGTTAACGTAAATTGAATTATTGGTTCTTATTAAGTGGTAATTACGGTTTCAGTAGGTATATAGATACCTGATTAGTGTTAAGACGTTCGACACTGCTTCCGTAATATTTATTTGCCGCGCTATTTACTATCCTTCTTATTTGTTTGTTTTGTTACCTGTTACAGATAAAGCGCCCTTCTGAGCTCAAAAAGCCGTTACGCCCAGAGTTTTAAAGGTAATGTTTATTTTCGACTACTCCTTTATATAACGTTTGATTACATACTGGTTTTCGATGCAATCGAATTGTAATTAATATATTTGTTTAAGTCATTTACAATTATTGCTTCGTTGTCTTCTGCGGAAGCCTGTTTAATTTTGATAATTTCCAGACTAGGATTTGATTCCCTTCTTGTTAAAAATTGAGTTACATTTAAATGTTGACATTTGAGATCTAAGCATTACAGTGACCATCTGTAATATTTCGAGATGATTTATTAAATTACCCTCGATTGTGACAACAATCATTGTTTGTGATCTACCTTGTCATTTATTTTATTTCTTTAGCTTAGCGAGGCCAGAACAAGGATCTCTTAAAGCCGTTTTACATTACACAATAAATGAGCCAAAAAGTTGTATAATTTTTTTAGACAAAAAATGTTGTAGGAAATATGTTGTGTGCGAAGTTTGTCCGTTTGATATACATACAAAATTTATTGTACATGATCATGCGCAGTTTAATTGTTTGTTATTTTTATTTTCATAATGAGTAGTTTAAAGCAAAAACTTTTAATCACTGTTGCTGTTGTAAGTTCTGTATTACTGGTCAGACAACTTAGAGAAAGGCAGTGTAGAAAATTAAAAAAGAAAAACCGTAAAACTTGGCAAGAGAAATGGTTGCAACGAAGAAACGCAGGCAGTTTTTGTAAAGCTGCAGCAATTGTTTGTAGGGCACCATTTCGCAATGCTTTGTTATGATAATCTTTATGTTTAACAAAGTAAAGAACTGGATACTTCCTATATTCTTCAATCAAACATGATATCTGATCACTCGACCACGACATCTCAAATTTCAAGTTTTAATGATAATATAAGTAATATAACGGTATGAAACACAGTACACAATAATTACTCATCACCATCAGCGATCAGCTGTGAAGTGTGAAGTGTGTGTGAAGCCATTCCACACGATATCGCATGCGTACTTGAGAAATTGAACGAAAAATTGTATGAAAATAGAGCATGTTCTAAATATCTTGAACAATTTGGATATCGCATACAATTTTCCGTTTGATATTACACAATATTTCTAGGCTCAAAAATTGTGCAACTTCTTGTGCAATTTATTGTGTAATGTAAAACGGCTTTTAGTCTGCCTTGTTCCCACATTCGGTAAGTATTTGAAATTTACTGAAGACTAAGTGGCGCCTATCCGGTTTACTATCACTATATTTCCCTTTGCTTCGTTTTGGCTAGTGTACGACGATACCATTATTCCCCCCCCCTCCTCTCTCAAAAGCACTCATTTGTTTTTGCTATTTTTTCCAAATACATTGAACATAAATACAAATTTCCAATATAACGATCGCAAACTAATATTTTCGAATTGACGAATATTATGAAAATGTTTGGGGAAATGGAAATTTTAGTAAAGGTTCGTAAATGGAACATGATAATATACACTAATATACCTGTAAGATATCCCCGTTATCCTTTAAAACGTGCAAATAAAATGTTTGCCTCCCACCCTGAGCTTCAGACACTTTGGTATGTTGAGCTGCATTTTTTTGGTTAATTCTGTAGACTTTCACCATATATCTTAAGCCGTATTACACGTCTGAGAAATATAACGAAAATTATCTTGAAATTTTATGTGATTATTTTCGAGATGAAGTTTCCGCGCATAATTCTTCAGATGATTTTTTTATCAAAATGGCATCCTGTTTTACACTAAAGAAAATTTTCGTGAGATTTATTTCAATACGCATGCGCAGTTTTGTACAGAATTACAGAATCCTACTCATAATTGGCAACTGTTTCGTCCGCGTCACATAAAATAAATATAACCTCTCTGTAAATAACCTCAATTAAATTGTTGTTTATTTTTCTTAGTTTATCAAGACAAATCATGGACAAAGTAACCAAGTTATCAATGCTACTTGTGGTGACCGTTGGTTCTCTATTACTGTATAAAGTTAGAAAACGTAATGTTAGGAGAAGAAAAATTTGGGCAAAAAGATGGTTAGGCCAAAAACATAAGGGTACATTGGGTTTACTGAACAACGAATTAAAAATAGAAGCTTTTATAGGTTAGGTAGGATCATAATAAAAATAAACATGCTCTCTATTGGCATCTGCGCAATTTTCCGCGCACTTTTTCTCATATTTTGCCAGAAATATAGAACGCGGTCTATATTTTTACTATACAAATTACTCCGAAATTTATCATGGTGCAAGTTCTTGTTTTACACGGTAAAGAATTATACTGAAAATTTTCATGAAAATAATCAAGCAAAATTTCAAGATAATTTTCGTTATATTTCCCAGACGTGTAATACGGCTCTTTAGACAAGTGAATATAATGATTTTACTATATAAATTACTGATTAATTCTTCCACGTTCCTCGTTTTTTAGTTTCTAATATTACTGAAGCTCTCCTTGGTTTTTTTAACATTTGTATTTATATTAACATAGCTTGTGCTGTCTGATTTTGGTCATTTGGACTTTCTGTCCGGCCGTCCGTGTTTGTCGCTCGTTTGTAAGCAATTTTCTCAGGAACTTACCAACATGATTATCTGAAAATATTTCTAAGGGCAAGCCTAACACATTTTTGAGTTTTTATCGATGACGGTTTTTAAGAATTTTTAAAGTTTTTCGAAGATTATCAGTACAGCACATTGGTTACTTAAAACTTAGTGTTTTGCTTGTAGTTGAATGCCACCAGGTTATTTCTCATTTGGATGTGGGTTTTGTGTGTTTTTTTGAGCATCAAAACAAACCGAATTGCTACAATAAAAGAAACATATCTGTAGGTAATAGAAACCACGAATAACAAAATTTCTTTGCAGGCATCAATAGCACCGTGGTAGCCAAATTTTCATTCATGCTCTAAAAGTATCCATAGATCTTGCGTCGAATGAGTACATAAGTGAACTCTTTCCTTTCGAGCTCGTGAAGCCATCTATTCCTAGCAAACTCAAACCCAGAAAACAAGCCATTTTATTGATACAGTATTTTTTTTAACATGATCCATCGTTCCTCTAAATGGGGTTGAGTGATATCAAAGATTAAGAAAAAAAGGCTTTGAGATCCGATTTTCTTAATCTTTGATATTGTTACATACAGTATCCGGAACTCCGCCTGATTTGAAAAAGTGTTACGGCATCTATTATTATCTTTATTACCGAATATGTCTTTTTTGTTTATCGATGATATATGCGAAAAAAAATCCCACTGAATATATTTTTAATATTTTACAATTTTATATATTTTTTATATATATTTTTTGTTTTAAATTATATTCTTAAGCAACTTTATGAAGGAGCTTCATCTTTTATACATAAAAGTCACCACAGTTTTAAACATGCCAACACCGTAGGCTTACTTCCTTATTGGGGAATCTTTACTATAAAAATTTGATAAAATTGATTAGATTTTACTTCGGCTTTTACAACATTTTAAATAAAAGGGTTCCCGAGAGAATTCCAGTCGGTTCGCCATTTTTTTAAAATTCAGTAGGTATTAAATGTGACTTTTAGCGCATTTTTCAAAAATGAAACGCGGTAATTAGGTACTAAGGGTTCCGTTTATACGTGTTAAGGATCGAATAGATCTCAGAACTGGAAAGTGGGAAAAATCTAAATAATATGTCATGCTCCCTTAATACAATAGGAAACAATTTTTGCAAACTAGTTCAACACGATGTTCAGATTTATTCACTAATTTCATTGGCGACAAAACAGATTACACAGGCACTTAATTTTGTACTTTTCTTGTCTTGCTTTCTGTCGAGATAATTGGTAGGAAACTCCATGTGCTCTCCTGATATCAGCTTCCTTTCAAAGACTAATAAAGCCATTAATTTCGTGCAAGTGGCCAGACACGCATTTACTTTATTTGTTTTCGTTTTTCGGCGGTAATTTTCAATCACTTTCTTCTAGAAGAATGGTTACAATTTACAAAATTCTCTTTTCATCTCCGCTGCGAGTTAAAATCGACTAAATCCTGAACGGACAACTTCCATTTCGTTGCTAATGCTTCTGTTTTAGTATGTATTTTGAAAATTGTGCAATCGAGTGTGTAATATTACGTTTATGTGTACGTATTGTTAAAATGTTAACAGTTGTTTTGTTGGATTGTTGGTATCTGTGTCGCTAACATTTCAATCTGAAATCCCTTCGAAGGGATCATAGTCACTTCAGACCATCCGGTGGATTTAGATAAAGAAAATTGCGAGGAAAATTGTCTAGGAATAAACTGTCAAAATACCCTAAAATGAAAAACAATGTGTTTGGCAAAAGATGACAGGTAGAGACTCCAGATGGCACAAGGAATGCGGTGAAATCGAAATCTAACAGAAATAGCCTGTTGCCTTTCAAAAGGGACACATCAGAATGATTGATTGGACCCGTAAAATCGAGGAAATTAAAAAATTTTTGCAGACAATAAGATGGATGGTCGCACATTTTTTAACGTTTAAACTTTGTACATTTTGGCCATTGAATTTTTTTGTGAAAAGGCGTTGAGCGGCATTTAACTCATTAATGAGAAGAAAAAAGCCGAATTATGGAGGGTATAATTATTTAGTAGCAATAATTAAGTAACATCTGTCGTACCGTCATCAAAATAGGGACAATCACACGCGTTTGTAAAAAACCGACAGTCTAGTTTTTGTCGTACACGTGGTGCGATGACAATTGCCCAATAATTACACACCTGAAAAGGATACCATATATTTTTTTTAGAAAAAAAACAATGAGCGCGAACACTACGGGGGAAGCTAGTCTTTAGTATACGTGTCGGTCAATATTAATTACACTCACACACCACAGCTTTTAGCCGGCGATTGGAAAAGGGATCATGAAATCGTCAATTAATACACGTAGCTCAATGTCTAAGAACTCACAATGGCGAAGAGAAAAGAGGCCCGATAATTCATTTCAGATAAGTACTCACCGGAACGGGTTTACACTTTTTTAGGTGGTACAACAATTAGAACTACACTAACATCATAGTTTCTCACGAACTTAAATTTGAACTTTCTCACTCTGTATTATTTATTCCGGACATTTTCTATTTGCACAAATTATCAATCACGCTTCAATATTTGTGCATCCACGGGTGATAAATCCTAGAATTGAGGTTCAAATTTCAAAAATTAACATTGATATCGCCCACGAAAATCACATCCATGTATACTTTGTGTAACTGACGCGCGCGAGAATGAACATGCTGAAAGCGCATCGCGTGAAAACCGATGAAGTGCTCCTTCCGAAGGATAGCTTCAAACTGATTTGGCTGGAGTGGGATCTGCACGTGGTAAACGCCACCGAACACTGAATACGCCCCCTTCCCTTTTTCTAAGCGCTACAAATCGACGAAAACAATTATCTGGCACCTGTGCCTAAACCACCCCCTAGTAAAAGTCCACCCCACTGCCATTCTCATCGAGTAATTAGAAAAACTGCTCTTCCGTCCCATTTCCGTTGCATTATGCATTAGTTACCCTTTCCACTTCGAGCTTGAGCTATTGTATGACTACGATGTGTAATAGACTTAAAACTTGCATTCCGAAAGGTTTTACAGATGTTATTAAATAAAGCACAAGTATTACAGCTGCAAAAGCTAGTTCCGTTTAATGCGTACATAAAGCGGATTTTGTTGGAAATACGCAAAAAGTCCATCAAGAGCTTTTCGCAATGTGTTCGTAAAAAATCTAATGAAAATAAAAAAAAACATTTTACAAGCGTCTATATTACTTTGCAGTAGGTAGGTACGTACACATAAAAATTTGATATCCGCTTATTCCCACAAACAGTATACGAGTATTCTATTCATTATTTACCACTCACTTTACATTTCGTGCATTCTTCTAAAATATGTGGGAGAACATTTCTTTAATTGAAGCCAATCGAAACAGAAAGCCTGTTTCGACTGGTTCCACTATTAATTCCTTCTCAAGTTTCTTATGTGGTTATGTGCCTGGAGGACATTGTTCTTTTGCCGCTTCAATTACAAGAAATATCAATAAGAAATTCAATTTCATTAAAAATTGCAAGATAAAGTGGGGCCTTTGCCATTTAATTCGCTAGCAGGTTGTATGTGAGAGGAATTTCATCGACTCGTCACGGTTTTTTGTATAACACAAATATTGCGGTATTGTTTTGCCGAGATAATGAAATTTTAACCTCACCAATAAAAAATTGGGAGGTTATTGAAATCACTCCAAATTTCGATTTGGAGATTTCACCGGATTTTTACGTTTCAAGGTTAAAAAATGTCAATAATATGTTGACATCTTTAGTCTAAACTGCGTCTTCAAATAACCAAAAAGGCCAATTACTTGACAAGATTAGCGTACAGATACGTACCACCCTTTTCCGTCGCGAGATCAATAGCCTTGTCTCTTCCTTATATTTGTCATTTAGAAGAACACCACTTCCACCAAACCATCATACTCCTACTTCCGCGAATTTCAATTGCAACACCAATACGAAAGGCTTGAGGTGGCCCCCTCTTCCATAACAAAATTACGCGTAAAAGAAATCGTGAACCTGCATCCTTTGTTATCAGCGTCTTGAAATCAACTTTCGCGATAATAACTTCCTTATCGCTCAGGACCAGATAGTACTTAAATGCATTCGACCAGATATTCCTTAATTTTTTTAACATTATCTTACAATTTAAATAAACAAATTTACACGCATTATAAACACTGTGCGATTAAAAACAATTCTAAAATGGAAAACAGACACTAAAATAACAAAGTCCGATGAAATAAACCAATTCTGTGCTTATTCGTAATGAAATCCTCCAGAATCCAGAATTAAAATTAAAACATTCGCATATACAGGGTGAGCCGTTATCATCTTCTGTATTATTTCAACCTAAATAACGTCCACCTGACGTTGTCTACGTAACAATATGATCGACAACAATTCCTCTATCTCCCTTAATGTGCTTAGACGGATTCCAAACAATACCCATGCACCTTGCCTGCGGACACCACCTTACTCCTGGACGCCTATGATCTGAGGACCTCCTATTTATAGAGGTCTATTACATTTCGTATTTTTGAAAATTAGAAAACTTTATTTTTTTTAATGAAAACCCCCTTTCTTCTGCCCACCAAGGATTCTATCACACTAATAGATAATGGTAATTTATAATTACATCCCTATTTAAGCCCTTATTCAATCAAATCCTGAAAATAATAGGTCTGTCTCTGTTTGCTTTATAAAAGGTAATATACAGGGTGGCAATTTGAAAACTTACCACCCCCCATGTCTTAGTAAATAAACGAGATATTTTAAAAAATCAAAAGCCATTTCGGTAATTCGGAGGGGGAATCACAATGACATAGTTGACGATGCACCCCCTCCAACCCCCTGCGCCCCAGCCACCCCAACTTTTAAATATTAAATAGTGACCCCTCATGTGTAATACGTCGTTGGAAAGCTCGGAAAAAATGCTTTCCAACCATACCAAATAGCATTACATTTTGGTTAATTAGTGCGCCGCGCCCTTCCACCTTAAGTAATATATTTCTGAGTCATTTATTGACGGTTAAATAATGTAATATCAACATCATGAAACTTCTCCATTTATATATATGTAAGAAGGAATAAAAAACGGAGTTTGCTAACCAAACGGTGGTGATACTTAAGGACCTATCTACTTGCCTGTCTGATAAAGAACCATAGAGGACTGTGCTCCTAATTTTCTTATCTAACCAAACAAAGATGGAGTGCGCCATAATATTAATGCTTTACATATTTGGAACGTCCAAATCAAGAAGGAATTATTTATGCTTTTGTAACAGACCAAATCTGTTCTTCCAAGAACAAGGCAAAACAAATGTAAAAGCTGACACTGTTCATCGTAACTGAAGCGCATATGATGCGTTCGCCGGTATCAAGCACTTGCGCATCATAGTTTGTGAATGTATAAAAACCCTTCCACTGGTTTCCGAACTTCAAAAGAAACTCCCCAGCATAAAACAGTAAATACAACCATAAAATCCTTACATCTTTAAAACAAAGCGAATTATGAATCGAGACATAATAGAAAATCCTTCGGTAAAGTTCCCAGATGTTGGAAATAATAAATTTCATTGCTCTGATGTTGATGACAACGATAATTTAAGAAATCGAAGACAATCCTTCAAATATGTAAATCTAGCATAGCGGAAACGTGAAATGCATCCAAAGCAATAAAACGGCCAAAGACAAAACAATAAAATTTCTACGCTATAAAATTGGAAATAATTTATGTGTATTGGATATACTTTTGGGAGAAGACATAAAAAAGCATTTCTCGTAAATATTTATAAGTACCGTTATTAGTAAATTAGCAGGTAACGCCTTCATCGAGTGTTAATTTATTTTAATCACATCACATAATATACTTTTTTTCTTAACACTAATTCGTTAAAACGTGATCTAACACAATTGGTTACATTAGGAAAGAATTCAACACTCACCACATGTCCATCAAAGGCATGTCAGAACTTGTATGTCTAAAGGCATCACGCCTACGTGTTGTTAGAAGGATTTTAATTTCAAGCAGTCTCACCTAAACGAAATTTGATAATTTAATTAACAGAATGTAGGGGTTGTCGATGTGCACCCGTCACTTGCTTGTGCTAAATAATTTTGGTAGCTTTGACAGATCCACTTGGGAAAAACAATAGTCACTTTATATTAGTGTTTGGTGGTGAACGAGCTTTACACGGGGGAATTTAAATTGTAGTTGCATTTCTACTGTCTTATTAACTAAGATTCTCACATTATTCAAGAGGATTCCACGACATCAAGAGAATTGCTAATTTTAGTAGACTAAGTGACGCGAGAGTGTTAAATTATTAGACATTACCGTAATAATAAACTCGAACAGGAGAAAAAAAAACGCGCTGCTTGTGAAATTCTATTCAATTTTGCGTGAGTTGTCGTGTACGATATAAGAGGAGAGGAATTATCAGGTACTAATCCTCTCAAAAATCCAATTACAGTTTAGTAAGCTCGAACACGCAATTGTAGGTATTCGCGGCCGGTAATTTTTTCTTGCCTTAGAACGGTTTGACGTACAAAAACGAGGAACATTATTATCGTTAATTGCGAAAACTTGGCGCAATCATTGTGCCGTTCTTATTGCGGAAACACAATGTGTGTTTGTCAACATTTGTGCATACGTAATTTGAGATTTTTTTAAATGATTTTTATACAAAAAAAGGGTAAACTTTTTAGGAAAGTGTGATGTCGCACGAAAAGTAAATCCACACAGCTGATCTGGAAGACTTCTGCAATATCAGTTCCGCTCCACCATGTAATGTTACCATCGAGCTTGGCCTAAGACCCAGAATTTCAATAAAAACATTTCAAAATTTTCAATTTATTTTGAAATTTTCTACTCCCGTAAACTGTAGAGAGAGGTAAGTAATCTTTGTAGTGATTTCGGTATTGGTGAGTCGCAACTATTGGTGTCGGTTTAAGGTGCGGGTGGTAAGATTTTTGACCATCAAACTTTTTTCTGCGGCTGAAAAAGTTGCTCATGATAGATTATAGCAACATGTCACTTGCGAGATTAACGATGCAAGTGTTTTATCAGTTCTGGCGGTGTAGGTAGAGGAATTTGAGTGTTGTCGGGGATATCGATGTTGATTTTATTAGTAGAGGTGGTTTTTGCTTAAATAGGAAGAATGAAAAGTAAACGAGGCTGTCTCGAGTTGTTTTGAAAGAAAGCTCAACTGTCTGTTTTGGTACCGGTAGTAAAGACGGCTATGCAATTTTAAAAATATAGAACGTAATGTTAGTTAAATAATGCGTAATGCAAGAAGTTTTTACACATGGAATTTCGAGTTTAAAAAGTTTGTATCAATAGTGAGGAAATAATTGGTGGAATAAAGGAGAAGCTGAGCAGCCATCAAACTGAAGTGTTTATTGTCTTCGAGGCAGTGTACTAACAGTGAGTTTTTTTTCTCCGACAAGATTATGTCAGATTCGTGTTAAAGTGTGTGTTTCGGCGAACATCGCATATTTCTCGTCCTGACCAGTTTATTGGCCAGAACTGTGAGTAATTTATGAGATCTCTTAATTTTTTTATATTGGCAGCAAACGGGGTGTTCTAAAGGCGTTCAAAAGGCCCTGTTAGTCTTACGTTTTCTTTGAGTTCTGTCAGCGGTCCGTGCGTTTGGAAACCACTTAGATACGAGCCATTCTGCTTCTTGGGGGAGGATAAGGCTAAGTAGCGCCCGTTAGACATCCTCGACTCTACTAAGGAGAATA